AGCCTTACTTGCAAGCATTTTTGGGTTTCGTCATAAACTTAAAAAAAAAAAAAATTTGAGCTTATAAACATGTTTGTTTAAGGTTATTTTTCTGTTGGGGGTCATCTACCCCCTTGCATGCTCCATTTCCTCTTGTTTTGAGCTATGCATTAGAGCATTTGTGTTGGCCTTGGTTTGGCCTTTTAGCCACTGAAATCCAGCGGATTTTCAGTGGCTAACATGTGTTTTTGAGCCTTAAAATTAGAGAGGGGTGACCCTCTCACCCTTTGTTTTGTTTACTAGCTTTCTTGGCCTCACTAAGGAGCCCCCATTTGCATGTTTTGAAGCCATGCTTCACGCCACTTTTTGTGAGTTTTGTGACCTGCATGAACTCTGTCCAGAGCCCTTTTAGCCATATTTGATGTCTATCTTGCACGTGTAGAGAAATCCTTTTCATGGCCTTTCAAATGGCCCTTTACTTGCATGCTTCCTAACCTCATTCCAGGCCCTTTTTGGTGGGTTTTAGGACCCTCATAACCTCTTTCCAGAGGTGGTTTTGTCATTTTGTATGTCTATCATACATGTGTAGAATAACCCCTTGCATGGCCTTCCAAAGGAGCCTATCATTCTTGCATGCATTGACTGAGTTTCAGTGGATTTTTGGGCATATTTTGGCATGGAATACTTCTGTTTTTGGCTGGTTTGGTGAGCTCTCATATACTTCATATAGTTGTAGTACAACTCATGGTTCACTAGCTTTCTTTGCATGCTTTGTTGACCCTTGATTTTAGCACTTTTTGGCCATGCCTTAAACTGATGTTGTGCATATTTTGGACTGCCTTAGCTCTGTTTTTGGGTCTCATGGTCGAATGATGTTTGTTTTGCATGCTTGTAGTTCAATACCCATGCATAACCTTGAGTTTTGAGGCTCATTCCATACATATACTGAGGTGTGTTCATGTTTTGGGTCCATTATATATCATATTTCAGAGCTTGTATGAATGCCATATTGCCATGTTTTCTACTCTTAAGTGTGCTTGAGAGTTGTCCATGAATGTCTTGTTTTCGGACCATTGAATGAGCTCCATTTCTTCACATTCCGAGCCATCATTTTAGGTCATTTCCCCACTGTTTCAGACCTGCCTATGGTCTGTTTGGGGTTGATTTTGCCATTAGTGCATTGCTTTGGGTACCTCTAGTGTAACGCACTTCACTAGTTTCGGTACCCGGGCCCCCAAGCATGCATTGTGTGACATATTTGCATGTTTCGGGACCATCTTTTGTGCCATTTCAGAGCTGTATCATATGTCATTCTATGCCATACTTCATCCTCTGCCATGCTTAGTTAGAGTTGCATGTTATGCCTTAGGATCGGTCCTTTGCATCCGTGCATGTTTGCATGTGTTTTGGTTGTCTCATTTCCATCATATGGCCACTGATGTGAGTGTGGCTGAGGTCCACTCATATTGGTGTAAGTCCATCTTGCATTTGTATATGCCATTTAGTTCAGGTGCACATGATAGTCTTCGTAAGTGCATTGTGTATGCCATACTATGTCACGTGCATTGTGTATGCCATTTTAGCCCATAGCATCGCGTATGCTAGGTTGCATGTTAGTCGCATTGTGTATGCCATCTCATTGCTTTGTGTTTGGAGTAGGGTTTAGTCTGAACACGGAAAACGAGGGACGTTTCGTACTCTAAGTGATGAACTGTGCCTCGATTCTCGGTCGTCGACACTCTTGACTGTCCATGATAGAGTTCTTGGCTTTACTTGCTTATATGTGCATTCATTTCAGATCGAGTCGTGCAATTCGACTTCTCGGCCATCATGCATCGAGATGCATGATTGGTGGCACGAGGATCGAGGACTACACTCCCTAGAGCTTGTGCAATGATAGGGAGAGTGGTCGTGCACACATTTGTTGAAAATACATTGCCTTTTCTCTCTCTTGCCTTTGTTGCAGAAAAACCAGAAACCAGAGATGGAAACTGGTCGGTCGACCAGATTTTCTAGCAGATTTTCTGGCAGGCCGACCACCCTCTTTGGTCTCCACCACAAAGGGTGGTCGGCAGGTGGTCTCCCATGCTAATAACTGGTCGGTGGTCTTCCTAAGGTGGAGTTTCAGCCTTTTGGAGCTTTATTCAAGTTTCTGGGATCAATTGCAAACAAGGGTGAGGCGAGGCATCATGATGGAATTTACCGACAAGGCAACTCGAGCATGCATGCATCTTTCATCAGTCAGAACAAAGCTGAGACAGTCCATCACTTGTAGTATTGCATGCTAGTTTATTCGCTTTCCTAGTTAATTTGTTAACTAATTAGGGTTTTTGTAATATTTAATTAGTTAGAGTAGTTAATTATTCATTCGGATTGTATTATTTATTCGAACCCTCCGAGCGAGGGCACAATTGTAATAAGTGTGCGTGTGTGTGATGTATGTCTTCCAACCCCACGTCTTTCTCCCTTTTATTTACCAGCTTATGATGGTTAGATTAGGGCATGTTTCAATTAGCATACTTATGCTTGCATGTTTGCATCATTCATCTGTATTGCATGCACCGGGCTCGGTGCATCATACTAACTGCATTGTATTTCAATTCCGAGTTGAATACGTGTATCAGTTGTTGCATTTCGTATGCCATTTTAGAATAGCCGAGCCTATCTTAGTTGCATTTTTGCATGTATTGCATTAGCCATCTTAACATGAACTAGGATCATGCATTGATTACTAACTAGTTTCTGTTTTGGTTTGGAGTACTTGGTAAGTATTTATGCTTTAGCATCCTCGCATGTGTGTGAGTGACTGCCATGATAGCATGCTTACCATGAGGCTATGTGCTTATGTGATATAACTGCCTGAATGCCTGTGGGTGAAGGTTGGATTATCTGAATTGGAATAATACATTGATTGTGAGTTTTAAGCCCACTTGAGAGTGGCAAACCATCACGTTTTCTAAGCCCACCCGAGGGTGGCAAATCCACGTCTTAGCCTACTTGCGGGTAGCACCATCAAACCATTTTCAAAATAAACAAACATGAGATGTGTTGCTCCAATTCAGGTGATCCAGTCTATACTTGTATGCTGTGCGCATCACGTAGTAAATCTAGGCTAATAACCGGAATAAGAATGCATAATGTTTTCAAAACTCGATATCATGATTAGTAGAGGTCGGTCTTTGATCGGGCGAGCGGGGGTGCTCACGAAGTGACCTTTCCCAATCGCACTCAAGTTCTCGAGCCGAGGCAACTTTGGTGATGACGGACACGTGGCCTTAGGCAAACGAGTCAGGGTTTCCTAAATTCCCCAAAATAAAATATTTAGGTGGCGACTCTGTATCTGGCAAAGCAGTCCATGTTTGACACTTCTTTCAAAAAAATCTATTTTAAAAAACGATTTGCCGGATTTGGACTCTTTGATGATTTATTGGTCTTGCATTGCACTCTGCGAGATTAGATACAGGACCATGACATTTGAGTCCTGAACTGTAGTAAGCGCAATGAACAAAATGGGATTCCCTCCCGGGACGTTCGGGGACGTCTACAGATACATGTTAAAAAACATATAAGAAAAAACAGAAGTTTGTGTTTTTAAGATGCTATCGAAATCTACCGTAGGGTCATCATTAGACCAGTGACCCGGCTAGGTCCATATTCTTGGGTAGGCTGGCAAAGCCCGAAAAGGGCTTGGTTTGAGACTAGGTCTAGGTCTAGGTCTAGGTGTTGTAGACTGACTAGTTAGCCCTTGAGAGGTGATCAATTAGCCCATTGGCTCGACCCACAAACATTAGATTTTGAATTTCAAAATTTAAAAAAAAAAAAAAAAAGATTGTTAGTGTTAGGCACCTCACTAACTCTTCAGGGCCTGGGCCTAAAATTTTTGGCTCTGGCATGGCGTGGCCCACTAGGAAAAAAACCTATTGAGCTTAGCCACAGAAGAGCTTGGGCACCAATTTCACGAGTTGAGCCAACCTTGCCTGACTGTACTCGCAATGCAAATTGTCAGGTCATGACCTACCATCTTTAGATCTAATCAGTAATTTTCCTCCTATGATGGATATACTGATTTGAGTATATCAAATGAGCATAGGGCTGGGATAACTGTGCTCAAACGAAGTTGATGTTTAAACAACTTACTGAATCTCTTCTTCTAATGCATTTGCTAAAATATAATATTCAGAAAAAATGAGTAGTTTCCCTTTATCAATTTTGTGTTGGCTATTTGTATTAAGAACAATACCTTTTTTTTTCTCGTATAATTTAGTAAAATTTCAAAATTATTTCCATTTTTTTGAAACAAAAATGAGACAAAACAAGTTTTTGTTTCCCGTTTTCAAAATATTTGTAAAACATAAACAAAAGATTAAAACATAAACATTACCAAATGGGAGTTTAAGAGCTCAACCTTGAGAAAAATCGAGAAAGAGTGGGAGGAGATGTTGATCCTTAGCTTGTTACCCAATCTTTGTTGAGAAGTGTTGATATGATAAGTGCTGAATATTTTTCACTCGACCGTAGATCCAACTATGAATACATAGTTCTCTGTATATTGGTTGTATTTTTTCTAATCATTGCACAACCGCAATCACTGTGGACGTATGCCTAATTTTGGGATGAACCACTTTCAATCTTGTATTCTTGTGTGTATTTATAATTTATAATTCCTATTTTATTCCTTTCTATTTTCGCGTCTCACTCATCCTGATTAGGTATTCCGCATGGGTAACAACTTGCCAAAGATCTTGATCTAACTAGTGGAAAACTTTGGACTAACCTGTGAACTACCGCATTGAAACATCTTATAATGTTATGTCTATTGTGATGTTTCTATTTTTTGTCATGTTCTTTTTCTTTTTCTTTTCTGAACTTTTTTTTTCTTTTAAGATTTCACACAGGAAGATTAATGAGGAATGCAACTTCACAGTGAATTTTAATTTTCTCAAGTGGAATTTCATTGTTTTTGGTAGTACTTGTATATCCTTTGGCTAAAAATGTAAAACCAGTTTGATAACATGTTTCAGGATGAAGATTGTCTTGCTTATGGCTTCCCTCCCTTGTTCTGAATCAAACAGAAATGGTGTTTTCAAAGGTGCTATCAGAGAAAATGTACCAATTAGAGATTGAGTGTTTGATTGCGCTAGAAATTGCTAGTTAAGTGTGCTTGTTATGTAATATAACTGTTTGTGAGTGCTTATCTGTAATATCTAACTACTGAATTCACCCAAAAAAATATATAACTACTGTTTGTGTGGAAATTGTTGGAGTATTATTCTATCTTGTTTATTGTCAAAATATAAAAATGGAGTAGAGTTTGTGACTTTAAATTCACCTGGTTTAAGCAGATTTAGGTGTTTGGTATGGCTGGCCAGCCACTTCAACTAGGAGGAACAGAGCATTTGAGTTAACAATGTATCTTTTATTTTTCATTTAGGTTGCATGCATGATACATAACTTATTCACCATGCATTAATAGTTTTGAGTGGTGGAGATATACAGAAAGAAAAATTGTACAATTTTTTTTGTATAGAGTGATGTGGCGTATTATGGTCTGTCGATTTAAAAACAGAATTTTCATCATTGTGATCTTGATTACAAATGAGTAATGTTATACAACTTGGATTACATTGATCTTAAAAACTTCTTAATAACTACTAAACACATATTAGAAGGTGTTTTATATTTCATTCAACAAGGGATATACAAAGTGTGACAGCCATTCCAGATATCAGTGAGGTTAATTAGAGTACAGTACTTTTTACTGCCGAGCTGTTGCCATTGTTCATTTCTGCCAGCACTTTGGCAACTGCAATGTACACGAACCCGCCAGCCGTGAATCCTAGAAACAAAAACAAAATTTAAAACAACAAAAACATATTGGGATTCTTACTAATGCTAATGCATATGATACCCTCAGCGTCAAAATGAGCTTGCTCGGATCATTTCTTTAAGATTTTTTACCTCAATCAAAGATGATCGTCCTTGATCTTGACCCATGACTAAAGCCTGTGCGACAATAACAGTAAAAGGTGATTATTAATTCTTCAATTCGTTTTGGGATTAAAAAATAAGATTCAACTTGCCATACTAAAACAATACTAACCAATGTTGTTTTTGCTAGTGCCACCGGTGCTGAAAGGAAATCGAAAAAGAGAGCTTTCAAGAGACTGAAACCGGATCTTACCAACTATGAAGCACAACTACGGATATGGATGTGGACACAGACATGAATGCGGACATGGGACAAGGCGAGTTCAAAAAATGGGGACATGGAAGGCGGGGACACGGCAATAAAATATGCTTTTATATATATATATATATATATATATATATTCTATCTAGATTAATATTACATCAACAAACAATCAATATTAACAAAAACTAACTCTAATTCTATTTCTATTTCTATTTTATTTTTTAAAAAGTATTTTTAAATTAACACTTGCAGTTTATATCTTTTTTTATGAATGACCTATTAAGTATTTAAATCTTAAGAAAAAAATAATAAACATTCAACATTTATCAAAAAGCACTAAATAAAATGGGAAAAAGACAAATTGAAATGTCCCTAGTGTGTTCCCGAAGTGTCCCCAACGTGTCGCCTGAAAATAAATTAATTAAATAAGAGGACATGCCATGTGGTGTGTACCATACCCGACATGTTTGTGTATCCGGCACGGATACGACACTTGTTTTGTAGTGTCGGTGCTTCATAGCCTACCAAGATTCCAAAATCACGTATCTGCACAGGAGGGTTTGACAAAAGATATAGCACCGAAGTAAAGTTTAATTACATTTATAATTAAAAAATGAAAAGTTTTTAAGGATGAAATACAAGATTTAGTGTTGCCCAAAGTATGATTATATTTTAATGTGGCGTTCATAATGACAAAATATAACTACGCCAACATGGCAAATCCTTAATGACACACGACAAAAATATGTCAACAAAATTTAGATCACATATTTCCTTTAAGATAAATTATGTTAATGTGGGGATATATTTTTGAGTACCGACACGTGGCAAGGTGACGCCAACGTGTCAGCCGAGGTGTTACGTGTTAGGGTCATAACGCCGAGGTGATCTCGGTCAAGCCGAGGTTATCTCCGAAGATATCGGAATCCGAGATAAGTGAATAAGAGATAAGGGACAAGAGTCCTAGAATGAAGAGGAAACTTAGCTAAGATAAGGATAAAGCTCTTAGAGAGTTTATCTTTATCTCTTGAAGAGTCCAAAGTAAGTATTAAATTGGAGTCCATGGAAGTCAGGCTTCTGGTGGGATTAGGATTAAGTAAATTATAAAAGAGAGGCACCCCTGTGGGTCTAAGGTACGTAATTTTATGCTTTGAGTAGTGAGTTTAGCACTTGATTATCTTTGAGAGATATACTGACTTGATCATCGGAGTGCCCCCGGGTTGAAGAGCCATCGCCGGAGCCTTTTCTTTCTGTTACAGGTTAGCTGAAGCCATCTATTCTGCCGGTGCTCTCTAGCTGATTACTAAACGGGCAGTGTGATCAGAAAATCACTCACACAATTTGGCGCCGTCTGTGGGAACTTAGAAGAATAGATGGCCAGTAACGGACAGAAGGAAAACATTGGGGGTGACACTCCTGCTGGGAGTGGCAGACCAATTGACCTTGACGTTGAAGGAGACAACCACAATATAGAAACTCATGACCAGGGCCACGGAGAGAAAGACGTCGGCCAAGAGGGCGACACTTCGAAGAGGACAGACCAAGGCAAGTACTATAACGAAGATAACCTTCAAGTATGGAGGGATAGATGCCTATGGAGGGATGAGGAAGTAAAAGAATTGGCAAACAAGTTGGCAGACCTACAGTCGGTTGTCAACTTCATGATGCAAAACAATGTCATGCAGCCACCATACCCGCTGCAGGATACGCCGATGCTAGCAACTAATACCCATAAAGGAGGAAGAAGAACAATCCCCGAAGTCCCTCAGCACACCAAGAGTGGAAGGCACTCTCACCGACCTTCCAGGGAAGTCGGACGAGAGGAGCCGAGACGAGAGGAGTCCCGAAGAACGTATCACACGAAGGACCTAGAGCCCAAAGAACATCGGCATGTTCAAGGGCAGGCACTCTGCTTTGATACAACACATGGAGAGAGATCAAAATGAGCCCACCGCGAGGCCGAAAGTAGTGTGCCGAAAAGATTGAAGTCCAAAGATAGCCGAGCTCCAGGGAGGAGTAAAGAAGACTTGAGAGATTACCTCAAGAGGAAGCAACAGAATGCTGAAGCCGAGGTAACTTCCCCGGTTAAGCCGAAGACACCATTCTCGGTGGAATTGGACAAATTTGAAGCACCAAAGACATTCAGTATGCTGAGGTTCCAAATATATGATGGTAAGTCAGATCCCACCTTTCACGTTGGACTATACCTGAATTCAATGGCATTATATAGTGAGAACGAGCCATTGCTCTACAAAGTATTCCCCTCATCCTTCGGGGAAATTACATCAGATTGGTTCCATAAACTACCGAAGTGAAGCGTAAAGACTTGGGAAGGCCTGGCCGAGATGTTTGTGGCCAGGTTTGTGACAAATAAACTACAGCCCTTGAGGGTCGACGCACTGATGGCTTTAAAAATCACCAAGGATAAAGGCCTTAGGGCCTATTCAAAAAGGTACTACGAGGTGTTCAATCGAATACCCGAATGCAACCAAGAGGTAGCAGTCGTGTCTTTCAAGAACAGCCTGAAAGATGACTGCCCACTACGGAAGTCTTTGGCAAAGACATTGCCAAAAAGCATGGAAGAACTCATGGCGAGAATCGAGAAGTACGCCAGAGCCGAGGAGGATGCGTCGGGAAATAAAGAAACAAAGCAGGAGAAAGGAAACGGCTCGCCGAAGCGAAGCCGAGGTAACAATGGACCGACCAAATAAGCAAACGGAAAAAAAATGAAGCTAAGACTCCTCTCCATCCGTTGGTTGAAATTGAAGATCAGATGCTGGTTGAGAAGACATCCCAACAGCCTTATCCGCCGCTATCTCGGCATCAATTTCTTACAGAGTTTTTTCAACATTCTTGTCCGAAGAGGAGATGTTGGCTGGTGCATTCTCGGGAACAACTTCTATGGGAACCTCATCACCTTCCTTATCTTGAGTCAAGTCTAGGACTTGCTTATTCTGAGGAGGGGATTTGGTCCCATCAGTATCCTTGGATGTTCTCACCAAGGCCTGATCCTCCTCCTCATCATTTTCCTCGGATTCGGATTTGCCGACGTCTTGATTTGGAGGTTGAATTGGAGGAAATAGCAGAGGAATGGCATCAGGTTTTCTTAATGGCGAGTCCTCTGGGACGTTAAGTTTTTTCAGAAGGGACATCCAACCAAGGGTAAAACCCTTGTTGCATGCCTCCTTCACTTGCTGTTCGTAAGCATCAGTGACGTCGACCATGCCTTGGGCATATGCCATTTCATCGCTTCTTTTATTTCGGCGTCCTTGGTGGCCAGAGCCTCCTGAAGCTCTTTTCAGCCTGGGCCATTTTTTCTTCTGCTTCTCTCTTTTGAGACTCAGCCACTTTCCTGATGGCTTCAGCGGCCTCAGCCTTCTCTTCGGCATTGGTTTGGGCTTTTATTGCAGCCTCGGCTTGGTCCTCCAGCTTTTTCATCTTCGATTGAAGACCTTTGTTGGTCTTTTAGAGGGAAGAGAACTCCCTCTTCATCTCAACAAGCCTTTCCCGATTCTCAAAAGACTGCATTGAAAATGAGTGGGCATGCTGGATGGCCTGAAAGAAAACAGAGGTGTTAGAGAATACTCAAAATATAAAATAAAAGGAAAGGAAAGAGGAAAAATACCAAATAGAAAACATTTACCTGAACAGAGTGCTGAAGCATTAGAGCATAGTTCTCATATTCACTATACTGGGCGTTTCGCTCCAGGTCGCCTGGAATAAGCAAGGCGGTACTGAGTGCGACGCCGACGTTTATATCATCGACACTATCACTTGCCATGACAGGCTTGTCTTCCAAAGTAATTATGGGGGCCCAGGGGGCATCGGGTTTTTTTGATCCCGAAGTTGTTGCGGAAGAAGACCTCGGCTTTTTTGGTTGTTGGGATTCTGATGGTTGAGACTCAGAGCGCCTCTTCCCAGCAGAAGGCTGAGATTTATTACTCTCAGCCAACTTTGAAATAGGCGGAGTGTCTTCAGACTCAACCTGAGCTACCTTGGCCTTTGGTTGAGCATTTTTTATTCTTTTTGGCTTCGGTGGAGGAAGGGTTTGTGCAGGTTGAT